CCAACACGGCATCAAAGCGGCTTTCCACCAGGGAGGCCATAAGTTCCTTGTTGTGCAGTAAGTGGGAGCAGGCAGAAAAAATCAGGGCAGAGTCCTCCTTGACTTTCTTGTACGTTTTGACCACACGCTGCAGCAAAGGCTCATTCTCAAAGACACCGTGCCCGAGTTTGATAAAAGCTTCTTCCACATCCTCCCTTCGGAATGGCACAGGGTACCTCTTCAAGGTGTAGAACGCTCCTTCTTTGATGTGCATGGCAGCCTCGGAAGCTAGGACCACCATGTCATGTCCCCTCTGGTGCAGCTGCCCCACGACCCCAAGCACACTCAGCCAGTGGCTGCCGTCCACGGGGACCAGCAACAGCTTCCCAGCCTGGGACACAGTGGGGTTCAGTGCACACAGCAGCAGGCCCAGGACAAGCGGAGGTGGATCGTGGGACCTTGCTGCCATGGTTCCCCTGCCTTTGCTACCAAGACTCTGTCTTGCCAAAAGTTTGCCCTCTCCTACTTTCCTGTCACAAGAACCAATCTATACTTGGAGTTAATGGTTGATTGTATCACATGACTATAGCTGGTCAGTCTGCTGAAAATAACAGGAAATTCACCTTTAGAGGTAACAAGGACAGACTTTACCGGGTTTCTTTTTTCTTTTTTCCAAGTATTCTTATTTTTTATTTATTTGCTCTTAAGTTGTTGTTGTTTTTTTTTAAGATTTTATTTATTTATTTGTCAGAGAGAGAGAGAGCACAGGCAGACAGAATGGCAGGCAGAGGCAGAGGGAGAAGCAGGCTCCCCGCTGAGCAAGGAGCCCGATGTGGGACTCAATCCCAGGACGCTGGGATCATGACCTGAGCCGAAGGCAGCTGCTTAACCAACTGAGCCACCCAGGCGTCCCTGCTCTTTTAAGTTTTTATTTTAATTACAGTTAGGTTAACCTACAGTGTCATATTAGTTTCAGGTGTACAATATAGTGGTTCAGCGCTTCCGTACATCACCCAATGCCCATCCCAGCCAGCAAACTAGCTTTCTTGGTCGGCAACAACAGTTTCACCAGCTGGAATTCTTTACCAACCACTCAAATCACATTCTTGAGGGGCCAGAGAAAGGAAAGCAGCCCCAGCATCGTTGAATGCATTAAACGAGTATTTCCATGGATCAAGAGGGATAGATAAAAGGCTATGTGGTGACAAATTAGACTTCCTTTTCAGGAATGAAATAGAAAGCAGAATGTGCCTTTTAGAAAGACATCACGCTGCAAGCCTGCTTTTGGCCCTTCGCAGCCTTGCGGGATGTCCTTCCCCATGGGTCACTCAGGGTCTTGCCCAACACGGTACCATTTTGATGCATTCATCCGAAAAAATGCTTATTTCGTCCTACCTGGCACCGAGCCTCGGGGTGCCGGCAGAGACCACCACAGACGAGTGTCCTGCCTCCCCAGAACTCGGGCTCCATCAGAAGAGACAGACGGGCAATATGAGCAGATAAACAGGCGCGTCAGGGGCTGTGAAGCACGTCAAGAAGGAGATGAACGTTGACGGCTAGTGAATGGCGGGAGGGAGGCCCACTCGAGTGCACATGCGCAGAAGGCCTCTCTCAGGACGGATGCGTGTTCGCTGGGACAGACAGCCGCGAGGGCAGACACTGAGAAAATCTGATGACCAGGTTGCAGCAAAGGGGAAAGGTGAACAAAACCAATAAGAACATGGATGTGTGGAGTATGTATCAGATATCAAATATGATGTAAGCATGTCACAACGCATCTTACATAATCCCCTAAAATATCCCTTAAAGGCAGATAGTATTGTTCCCACTTTAGGAAGGAAGACGCTGAGGCTCAGAGAGAGAATATGGGCTGCCACTTAGTAAGCGACAGAGCTGAGATGCAGGCCCTGAGTGTCAGAGCATGGAGACCCCGCTCTTAACCACAACTCCCCATGGCCTCTAGCGCTATCCGGATCTTAGGGCCAGGTTTGAAATTTACAGCAGGTTAGGAGCCAGAAGCAAAGCTGTGATCCCCACAGTCACTACTCAATCAAAATAAATGGGGAGAAGGCAGATGTGCTCACACAGTAATACCCAGCACTAGCTCGTGCCTCCAAAAGAGCAAGGGAAGGGTCAGGGAGCAGGTATGGTAGTCCCAAACAGAAATTCCCCTCCTGAAGAAAAGGCAAATCTGAGTGCAGACAGAACTGATCATCCCACCCTGTTCTTTGGGGATCCATTGCTGTACACTACAGTCCCAGGATGGGAGCACAGATCTCAATAATTTGACCATGGACGTCACTGGCCACCCATATTCGGGGACTTGATAAGAAGGTCATGGAGAAACTTATAAGTCTAAAGTTTTGATGTTCTGTGGGGCATATTCACAGGGCCCCCTTCATTCTGGTACTTAGAACAGGTACTTAGAGTCCCTCCTTCCCTGTACCACTATCCTTCCTCCACAGACCTCCAGTGCCACATGTGCTTATACATGGGTGCACACATACACACATGCTTAAACATACATGTACTCAAAAGCTTCCTACTCACACACAGCCCACCCCACCCCAAGCACTTTCTGTTCTCCTGGGCTAAGGTTCTGGGTGGGTAGCGAAGGGGCAGCAACGCTATTCAACCCACTGGTGTGCCCCTATCTGCAATTCTGAAATTCACAGTCCAGTTTAAATATTAAGAGCAATAATTCATCTGAACTCTCAGTATCATAAGAATTCATTCATAAGGGGCGCCTGGGTGGCTCAGTGGGTTAAAGCTTCTGCCTTCGGCTCGGGTCATGATCCCAGGGTCCTGGAATTGAGCCCCGCATCGGGCTCTCTGCTTAGTGGGAAGCCTGCCTCCTCCTCTCTCTCTCTGCCTGCTTGTGATCTTTGTCTGTCAAATAAATAAATAAAATCTTTAAAAAAAAAAAAAGAATTCATTCATAAATTACCCAGAGCAAAAGGGCTGTAAACACACACAGTCACCACTGTGATGATTTTATGACTTTCCTACATCACGCAGAGCCTCAGGACTTTTTGAGGCTTCTGTGTTCCTGGATGCTTTGGGGACATGACTCTGCCCTTATAAGCAGGGTTTCAGCTTTGGAATCACTCGCTCGGGTGCCAGTCCATGGCTTTGCGGACAGTAAGCACTCAGTAAATGTTTTTGTATAGATGTGACTCATCCCTTCTCCTTTGCTCTAGGCCCCATATCCAAGCAAGCAAGTGCTGAATGCTCTCTGAGACCCAGCTTCCACAGTCCCCCAGGGCCCCCAACCCATATCTACTCATTCTGGTCCCAGCATCAGCTGCCCCCTGCACTGCCCCTGCACTGCACCACCATCCCTGAAACCTTGATCAACAGCTTCCTAGGACCCAGAATAAAATTTAGACTTCAGCCTTTCCCTCAAAATTTCCTGGAATGGGCCTTCAGCCTACCTGTCCAAGCTCGTTACTCCTCTCCACTCCTTTCACCGGACCCCTCACCTTCTGCCCCTTTCCCTCCACTCATTCTGGATCACTTGACCTTCCCCAAACAGACTTTTCCCATGTGGCTTTGTTCACACTAGACTCTACTCTGAATCTACTTTCTACTACTGTTTATTGCATGATTACAAAGTGCCAGCTCCAGGATTGTACTCGGCCCCTCAGGGTGACATGAAGTTTGTCCTAGTGACATAGGGTGCCTCATTGGATCTACTACCCTTTTTATGATGAAATATTAGAGTTCACTGGTTAATCATTTTCCTCTTAGAACTAAGTGACCTTTATTGGTATTGCCTTGCCATTTATCAAAGCAAAAAATAAAGTATCAGAGAATAAGAAGGCAGAGAGAGGTCAGATGTCCAAAAATGTCAAAAAGAAAGTTATGGTCATTGTATAGCAGTTTTACTGGAAATAATTACGGTACCAAGATTGACCCACACCACCACAAGCATGACCAGCAAGTTTTAATCGTTTTAATACACTAGACTAGGAGTTCTCAAGCTATGGGCCAATACACTCTGGGGATACCCAAGAATTTTTTAGGGGAATTTTGCAAAGTCAAACTATTTTCATAATGATATTTGGCTTTTTCACTCACATGCTCTCTTAAGGGTACAGTGGTTTCTCAGTGGCCACATAACCTGTGGTATAGCAATAGATTACCTGCAGAAGCAGGCAGAAGAATCCCATTCTCTTCTTTTAAACCAGAGAGATGTGGAAAATGTAGGATGTGCCCTCTTCACTAATTTTTTTGCTTTGAAGAAGTTATTTTGGGGCTCCTGGATGACTCAGTCAGTTAAGAACAGGACTCTTGATTTAGGCTGGGGGTCATGATCTCCAGGTGCTGAGATCCAACCACATGTAGGCTCTGGGATGAAACTGTGGAGTCAGCCTGGGATTCTTTCCCTCTTCCTCTCCCTCTGCCCCTCCCCCACACTCGCTCGCGCGCATCTGGGAGCACTGTCACTCTCTGTCTCGCTCTCTCAAATAAATAATAAAAATATGATTTATGTTAGCATGTAATGGCTTCATTGCTATTAAATTGGCTAACAAATTTTTTTCATTGCTTTAACTTCTAATGGAGTAAGTATTGATAGATATAACCTACATTAAAAGAGCAAAAGGGTCCTAGAAACAGAAAACTGGAGAACTCCTGTTCTGGACCAGTGATATGGCTATCCTTGAGCACAGGGTCAGACAAAACACACACCCCTCACTCTAACCCCATGGGCGGAGGGAGAGCCTGACAGAAGGCCTATTCTAGCAAAGCCATAGCCCCAGACCCCCTTACTCCCACTAACTTCCTCTTTTTCCTTCGGAGAGGGCGGGGCCAGGGGTGGGCGGAGCCTCTGTGGGCGGGGCTTCCACCCCCCACCCCCACCCCGTGCGAAACACGCCACAGAGACCCTCGTCGGAAGCGTGGCAAGGCCCCCGCAGTGCATTCTGGGATGCGGTCTCCACCAATGAGATGCGGCCTACGTCACAAGTGCGCCCTTTCCGGGCGGCCTGGGCTCGCAGGGCACTCGGGCCCGTGCCCCGGGGGCAGCCACCCGCACCACTTGTCGTGCCGGTGGCCCGTGGGCTGTGCCGGGCCTTCCGACATGGTGGACTACTACGAGGTGCTGGGCGTGCCCCGCCAGGCGTCGTCAGAGGCCATCAAGAAGGCATACCGCAAGCTGGCGCTCAAGTGGCACCCCGACAAAAACCCTGAGAACAAGGAGGAGGCGGAGAGGCGGTTCAAGCAAGTGGCCCAGGCCTACGAGGTCTTGTCAGACACCAAGAAGAGGGACGTGTACGACCGGTATGGCCAGGCTGGAGTAGAGGGCGGCGGTGGCGGCGGCGGGGGCAGCAGGCCCTGCCGCGACCCCTTCGAGTATGTCTTCACCTTCCGCGACCCGGCCGAGGTCTTCAGGGAGTTTTTTGGGGGCCACGACCCATTTTCGTTCGACTTCTTCGGAGACCCACTAGAGAACATCGTGGGCGGTCGGAGGAGCTCCCGGGGAAGCAGAAGCAGAGGAACCGCTCCCTTCTTCTCCGCCTTCAGTGAATTTCCAGCCTTTGGGGGTGGTTTTTCTTCTTTTGATACGGGATTTAGTTCCTTTGGTTCCCTGGGGAACGGAGGCCTTTCTTCCTTCTCCATGTGTTGTGGTAGTGGTGGGACTGGCAACTTCAAATCCATGTCGACTTCCACCGAAATCGTTAATGGCAAAAAAATCACCACCAAGAGAATCATTGAGAATGGCCAAGAAAGGGTGGAGGTGGAAGAAGACGGAGAGTTAAAGTCCCTGATAATAAATGGCAAAGAGCAGCTGCTGCGCATTGACACCAAGTAATTCCAGTCCACGTTCAATTTAGAGCACATGGTGAGGAATAGCAGGACTTTTTTTTTTTTTTTTTTTTTAAGATTGCAAGGGAACTCTACTTTCAGAACAACTGTACTGAAGAATTTATAAACAGTCATGCCAATGCCTATTTGTTGTTATTGTTGGGACCACATGAATAGGACCTCTGTTTCTCTTTAAAACTTGTAAATATCTGTATGCACTTTGCTATTTATTAAACATAATCCCGAGGCAGACAGTGATTATTTCCTAGTACTAGGACACAGTGTTACAGCACCTTGAACCTTGCCTTTCCATTTTGTTTGAAATGTGAGCCAGGTAGTTTTATCTGAAGTTAACCTTGCCAAGATAAATCGTTTTACTTCCATTTTTTTCACCACATAATAGTAAAAGATGTGTACACACTAATACTTCTGGCTTAAGGATGGTTTTTAGTCCCACATAGACGCTGATGACTAGTAAGAGCTTTCCGTTTAAATATAATAAACCTAGGCTTTTTAAGAAACAGGTAAACCTGGCAAAATGGGTATATTCATTTCCTATGGCTACTGTAACAAATTACCACAGATTTGGTAGCTTAAAACAATGCAGATTTATTCTCTTATAGATATGGAGATCAGAAGTCTGAAATCCATTTCAGGAGACTGAAGTCAGTGTAAGCAGGAACGTGTTCCCTCCAAAGGCTTGAGCAAAATACATAGGTGAATTCCTCACAGTTACATGATTATTTAATAGCATCAAATGGACTTTATTCAGGTCACTTAAGCAATTAAAAACAACTGGTAGTGATGACTCAAAACCTTAATAGAAATCTGATTGCTAGCCTCTACCCACCCAACTTGGTTCTACAACTATGATTGATGGAAATGTGGAAAATTATTTCTCTAAGGCTACACAAAACTACCCTATTGCTGTGTGCAGGATGTATCTTGTTTCAAATTAGGTTGACAAAAGCCAAGACTATTGGAAAGCTTGGAGTAGTAACTGGGTGAGGCAGCATACATCTGAGAGTACATTTCTGTTGGCACAGTTTATACCCCCAGTGGAAACCACTTTGGGCATGGTTGCGTTGGGATTGTCCATCACAAAGTGTGCCATCCCCTTTGGTCATGACTAAGGGAAAGTTTGCATAAGGTATTGGAGCAAAAAGGCAACTGAACTAGACAGACTAAAAATGCAGCCTATTCCTTCCTTACAGGAAGGTCATGTGACTTGAGCACACTGTTTAACTAGGAATATATGAAATTGAATTTAATATCTGTAAAAGCCAATCCCTGTGGAATGGCATGTGAACAATATGCAGCAGAAACATAGGATTCAGCCACTACTGTCCCACGAGGGCACAGAGTCTGTTAAAACTACCTCAAATGGTCACTGAGGTACCCAGGCAGTGCTTCTGACCCACTAATTGTACAAGAACTATCAGAATAAAACAGACTACTGGGGCTTTTAAAAAAAATAACTTTATTTGCTTGCCAGGCTAGGGAACAACACACCAGTGAAGATATTCATAGTTGTTGGTGGGGAGGGGAGGAGGAGCAAGGAGGGAAGTGATGTCGAGTTTTGAAGTGATAGAAATGAAAAATCACCACTCTGTATAGGACAGAATAAGTGCATTTGTGTCTATACAGTTGGTTAACATAAGTCTCCATTGGTCAGGAAAGTCTTCAGTTGGGTCCAGTAAGACTGGCATGGGGGCAGGGGGGTCATTCAGAGGTCATGGTTTTGTTTGTTTTTTTTTTAAGAATTTGTTTATTTACTTGACAGAGACACAGTGAAGAGGGAACCCAAGTAGGGGGAGTGGGAGAGGGAGCAGCTCTCCTCCTGCTGAGCACAACCCTGATGTGGGGTTCAATCCCAGGACCCTGGGATCATGGCCTGAGTCTAAGGCAGACCCTTAAAGACTGAGCTACCCAGCGCCTCAGAGGTCATGGATCTTAAAGGCTCTAGTGAAAGCAACACACAAGTCAATGGATGAATATATAAGCAAATGTGGTCAATCCATACAATGGGATATTATTCAGCCTTAAAAGGTAAGGAAACTGACATACGCTGCAACATGAGTAAGTCTTAAGGACATAAGCTAAGTGAAATAAGTCAAAAAAAGGCAAATACTCTATGATTCCATTTATATAAGGTACCTAGAGTGGTCAAGTTAGTAAAGACAGAAAGTAGATTGGGGGATGCCAGGGGTTTTAACAGCATTTGTTGCAGCAAACAGCATTCAGTTAGAGATCTGGTGGAGAGTTTCCCTTTTGCAGAATAGAAAGCATTTTATCTAAAGAATTTTCAAAACTGAAAACCGCTTTTTAAAAATAGCTCTAAAATCACAGTCCTGTATATCAGTATTCCTTGTTTATGGAAAGGCTTGAGTAGGCTTTCAGAGTAGAGAAAACACTTCCTCTGGTGCAAAGATGAGCATCTGCAGGACCCCGCAGTGGACTCCCTCCAGGAAGAGAGAGCACTTTCCCATGGAGTGCACCAGTTAATAAGGAAGTAGTTTAAGACATCATTTTAAGAATTGGGCATATTGAAGTTTTTTAAATAAAATTCTTTAAAGCTTTTTTTTTTTAAGATTCTTATTTATTTGACACAGAGAGAGATCACAAGTAGGGAGAGGGGCAGGCAGAGAGTGAGGGGGAAGCAGGCTCCCTGCTGAGCAGAGAGCCCATGCAGGGCTTGATCCCAGTACCCTGGTATCATGACCTGAGCCGAAGGCAGAGGCTTACCCCACTGAGCCACCCAGGCACCCTAAATAAAAATTTTAAATAAGCATGTTTTTAGGTGTATCTATGGAACATTTACAAATGTTAATCGTATCTTATGCAATATAGTAGCCACTAGCTACACTTGACTACTGAGCACTTGAAATGTGACCAGTCCAAATTGAGATATGCTGTAAGTGTAAAATAAATACCAGATTTTGAAGACTTAGTATGGAAGCAAAAGAATGTAAAATAGCTCATTAAAATTTTATATTGAGTATGTGTTGAAAGTTTAACATTTTAGATATATTTGATTAAATAAGATATAATTAATTTTAGCCCTCTTTTGCCTTTTTTGGTAACATGTCTACTAATTTTTAATAAATTATACATATGGCCTGCATTATAGTTCAATTGGGCAATTCTATACTAGACCACAAAGAAAACCTACCAAATTATTTAATGTAGGGACTTCAAAAGAAACATTCTCTGATTAAAATCTAAAATAATTAGAAAAAAATAAGAGATAGCTATGGGAGGGAATAAACAACTTTGAATACAGCCGTGGACTTAGGAAATCAGAAAATTAAATGACCAAAAACAGAACAAAGGAAAGAAAAAGAAAATATGAACAATTTATGCCAAAACCTCGGAGACATAAAAAATGTTCTATGAACTTCAACGCTTCATTGTTAAGAAAACTCTAACAGAAAGGAACTTAATGCTTAGCTAAGGAAAATTAGAAAAATAACTATAAAATAAACCAAAGGACACAAGAATGACAATCATTACTAAAAAGCAAGCTGGGATTAATGAAATAGAAAACAAAACTAGTAAAAAGAATAAGCAATTCCCAAAATGATTTCTTTGAGAAAACCAATAAAACAATTCCACCCATCATAATTTTTTTTTTATTAAGTAGACTCCATGCCTAGCTGGAGCCTAGTGTGAGGCTTGAACCCATGACCCTGAGATCAAGACCTTAGCTGAGATCAAGAGTCAGATGCTTAACTGACTGAGCCTCCCAGATGCCCCTCACCCATCATAAATCTTAAGAAAAGGGGCAAAAATATGAAAGACTTCGACTCTGATCTTTCATACTTGGAGAAAATTTCCATGACTACTTAAAGAAGTAACATTTAAGGGTAAACTAAACCAAATAAGTAAGAGTAACAAGGTCTCAAAGTAAAAAAATTTAGTGGAACAAAAGTGATAATGGTGTGCCTATCACATATAATACTTGAGAATTTCGGTATAAATGATCCCTCATGTACCCAGTAAATTAGCACAAACGTATCTAAAGATCTTCAGATGACATACCTTGTCCTGCCGGGCACTTTCTAAATAATGGTAATAGAAAATATTTATTGTGTACTCATTGTGACAATAGTGAGGTCAGAATATTTAGGTAATACCTGCCCACCTGCCCATTCAGCCAGAAAAATGGGAGTGAGAATTTGAACCAGTGCAGTTAACTCCAGAGAATATTTTCACAAAGGAAAACTAAAAGATGCAGCCACTCCGGAAAACAGTATGGAGTTTCCTCAAAATTTAAAAATAGAACTACCTTACTACCTTACAATCCAGCAATCACACTACTAGGTAATTACCTAAAGAATACAAAAGTACTAAGCTGAAGGGATACATGCACCCTAATATTTACAGCAGCAGCATCTACAATAGCCAAATTATGGAAAAAGCCCAAATGTCCATCAGTAAGATGGATGATAAAAAAAATAAAAATAGGTGAGTGGATAAAGACGTGGTATAGGGGCACCTGGGTGGCTCAGTAGGTCAAGTGTCCAACTCTTGATTTCTCCTAACATCCCCTTCCCTTTTAGATCCTATTCATCACTTCACCCCTCCTTCACTGGGTTCATAGGCTCATAGTCTGACCTCCCTCCCACTGTGTCCTTTGAGGACTTCAACATCCCAAGTAGGAGACCTGTCCAACCTACAATCCAACTCTGATCGTCCCCATGTCATACCCCAGTCATAACTCCTGGTCAGAAACCTTCCCAGCACAGCTCCATCTCTGAAAAGTTGAACTCATTTACTTCTGTCTTGGATCACACAGACCCCTGTTTGTCTCTTGCACCTTGTCTCCCTTCCACTTAATTTATTCAAGTTTCCTGACACTGCTGCTTCCTTTTTGTTTAGGTCTCTTGTGATCAGATCACACTCTAGCCCCTTCTAAGACAGGGCCACTAAAAAAAATCATGTCAACAAACACAATTTGCTGGCTCCTTTGTCCTTCCACCGAACAAGCAAACACCCACAAGCAAAGACTCCTGATGGATCAGCTCACAACTCAGCGTCTCTGCTCCTATACAGTTGGAGAAAATTGCACAGCCCCACGAAGATGGTGCCTTTGCAAAAGGATGGTCCTAGTTGACTCACACCGGTGCTTGTCAATCCTCTCACAGACCCACGCCCCTGCCTCTCATTTCTTTTGGTGACCACTGCAAACCTTTACTACACCAGTGGAGTTGCTTCAACATTTATCTCCCTGAACTTTTAGGAGAATGAGAGATAGAAGTCTTAGAAAAACTGGTAGATAAGTAAGCACCTGGAAATAAATTAAAAACAAAAAACAAACGACGACAACAAAAGTGTTCCACCTGGAACGTTGATTGGACATAAGCACCAATACAGACCTGAGACAATGGCTTCCTGTGGCCACAGTTTATGCCCCCAATGAAGACCATGTTGGGCATGACTGGCCTGGGGTAGTCCAGGACGAAGTCTCCTCTGAAGAGCCACACAGATGCAGAGCTGAAAATGTCCACCACCGACACCTCTCTCTGAAGAAGCTCAGAAGCAAGGCTTGCATAAGGGGTGAAAGAAATGTGGCAAATGTACTTCAGGGCCAGAGGATAGAGCATGTTCTTGACCCTTTGCAAGAACGTCATGTGGTCTGAATTCATTGTTAACAACCTGGGAATATAAGAGGAAGGGTTTGGGCACTGTGTACCCTCAAAATCTAAGTCACATGGAATGGAACGCAAAAAAAACACAGCCGGAAGTGACAGGTGTTTAGCCAGTACCGCCCCACAGGGGTAAACGGGATCAGTTAAAACCACATCAAAGGAACTGGCATTCAGGTGCCTGACCAGGTCCTTGTTACGCAGCAGGACCTCACAAGACCTTTGAAAAACCAAAGCAGCGCTTTTCAAACTTTTCATAGTTTCCAAAAACATCGTTAGAAAAGGCATTCTTTTAAAAATCAGGTAACTCTGGCCCAGCAGGAGGTAATTAAACTCATCCTGGGTGTACGGAACTGCATAGGTCGTCATGTTGAAAAAGTCCTCCTCTTTGATATGCAGGTTCAACTCTGGCGAAACCACCACCATTTGGTGGCCTCTGGCATGGAGCTCCTGCACGGCTTCCTTCATGCTGAGCCAGTGGCTGCCATCCATGGGCACCACCAGCACCTTCCCGCCTTCAGCCCAGGGTCCGACACACACGAAGAGCAACAGCCCCGTGAGGGCGGGCAGGGGAACCAGGAATCCGGCAGCCATGTCGGTAGATGCCCAAAGCAGCTGACTTTTCAGATCAGGCTCTGCCTCCTACCTTTATTTCCTTTGTCTTTATCTTATCATTGAGCCACTTAGAATAGCGGGTAACTGGCAGGCAGCATGTCCTCCTTGTGTTAATCATTACAGACTAGATCTATCCCTCGCTTTCACCATCGCCCCCCTCCCTTCTCCTTCCACGCAGGGAAAGATCAATCTCTCTTATCACGGAAAAACTCATCTACCTTGACGGCTCTCTCCAGGGAACACGCTAATTCATTCTGTTGCTTTTTATCCAATTCCCAAAACAGACCTGTGGATGCCCGTTTCATTTGATCTCCTCCTATTTCTCTGTTAACTGTGTCCTAAAGCGCTGTGACTGGGCTCTGAAGAGTCACCGATGCCCAGGTCTCGAAGCATAACCTCTCTGTTGGATGTGACCTCAGCTGAAATCTCTCAAAGCTCTCTCCTCCCATTGGTGGGGACCATGGAGCACAAACGAATATATAACATTGCTAAGACAGCTTTCTCTGAACAGGGAAGGGGGTACTAGCTCTTTGGTTTTGTTCCTTTTCCACACCAGGACATCTCTTGCAATGGTCAGGGAAGAAAAATCTTGAAGCAGCTGTCAAATATGGAAATATCTCAAAGAATCCTGCACTGGAGATGCGAGGACAGCCTAAGGGTTTGTTGAGCATTTTATATTTACTCCGCAGAATGCGAGTTGCTGTTACCTAAAGCATAAATGGGCAAGACAACAACCCTTATCAATGACATGGTGGGACCAGAGAGCCCCCCCGCCCCCCAGGGCCTGCGTTCCTCTGAACAGGAGGTAGTGGTCACCCAGTCTCAGATCAGCCTCTAACTCCACTCCTCTTCTCCAGTCTTCTCTGTTTAGGGACTGGGGTCTTTCACCGATAACTTCCTTGCCACACCCTCCTTCCATGAAAACCACCCATTTCATACAATGCCTCAGAGCTCCCCTATACTTCCTAGATGGGATGATGAGTGATTCACGAATCCTTAAGACAATTAGATCTGCAAATTTACTCAGATTTTTATTCTTTAACGACTCTAAGATATAAATCTAGATAAAATAAAGAGACATACAACATGATGGATGGGAAGATTGAACATGGTAATGTTCCTGATTTTGTCCCCAGTTAAGCTATAGATTTAATGCAAACCCAAACTAAATCTCACTGGGATTTTTAACATGACCAAACAATATTTTTAAATTCACCTGGAAGTATTACTGGCTTAGGGTGATAGAGGAGTAGCTCTTATCAGACCGATGGTCCCACAGATAATGATTATAAACTCTTGCAAAATGGTCTGTTTGTTTTTGTTTTTTTTTAAAGATTTTATTTATTTAATTGACAGATAGGTAGAACACAAGTAGGCAGAGAGGCAGGCAGAGGGAGAGGGAGAAACAGGCTCTCCGCTGAGCAGGGAACCTGATGTGGGACTCGATCCCAGAACCCTGGGATCATGACCTGAGCTGAAGGCAGCCGCTTAACCAACTGAGCCACCCAGGCGCCCCTGGTCTGTTTGGTTTTTTTTAATGCTGTCTGAAGGCACTGGGAAGCAAACAAAAGCAAGCAGAAACTTAAGGGGAAGATGAAGACAGGATGGCACAGGAGCCCGAGAGTGGCCAAGTGCCAGGGTAAACGTTCCTTACTCTTCTTAACACCCACCTCTCATCCTTCTGCCCTCAACCACTGTACGGCTCCTCCCTGTTAACAGGAAGATTGTCTTAATGCCATTTGTACCCACACAGCCAGAAAATGGCCAGCACCTCAGTCAGCCCACTACCCATCATGGGGTTTCTGCCCCCTTCCAGAGCTCAGACCAAGCTCTAGGAGTACTCCCTTTCTGTTGTCTCTGTCACAGTGCCCAACACTTGTCTGCCAGCCCTGAAGCCAGCAGAGCAGTGGGCACCACACGTTCTTCTCCAATCTCAGCCCTTCCAACCTTCTGACTCAAGCTTCAGCATCTTCAGCCTCTAGCTGAGCTTCAGTGGCCCACCAACATGCCCACGGTAGCAGCCCGCCCAGCGGATCGCCATCCATTTCCCCCTCCTCCAGTGTGCACTCTGGGCACTGCCTCCAGCACGTACATTGAACCAGCCAGTGTTTTCATGTGTCCCCATACTCACATGGCAGTCCAATAGCATCTGACATACGTGCCACTCTTCCCGCAAAAAGGTCAACAGCCTACTCAGGATTTCCCCCATGATACTCTTTCTCAAGGCCCATTTCTTCAGTTTCCTGGCTGTTTCTCCAACTGTTGGCTCACGAGCTGACCACCCTACATGGAGGGCAAGGAGAGACTGAAGAAAGAGGCAGGCCACTCCTCCAGAGGGTGGGTGGCAGGGTAATAAGCAAGAGAACTCACTCACAAGGCTTGTCTTGGGTGGCCCAAGACCAGTAGATCTCTGCCCCTGCCTGCCAAACCTTGAAAGTTTACACAGAGGCCTTAACTGGGTTCAGTCATCTGTACAATTCAGATAGTATACCATCAACAACACTGACTCTCTCAAGGCTACATCCTTGGAAACCGCTCCCACTGGAGAATGGTAGGCAGAACACACATCCCAAGGACAGTGAAGGAGCCGAGAAGCCTCCAATTGCCTGAGCCCAGCCCCCAGGTAAACCAGCATGAGCATCCTCCCAATGACTCCTTCCAACACTCAACAACACTAACAAAAACAAAATTCCTACTACACAAAGGATTTAAATAGATTATTGTCCAAACAGGATATGAGAACACTCAACAAGCGTAGGAAAATATGCTCAACATCAATAGTCATTAGGGAAATGCCAATAAAAATGAGATTTTACCTCTTGCCTACTAGGTTAGCTATAATAAAAAATTTTTACATGCAAAATAATAAGTGTTGGCAAAGATGTAGAGAAACTGGAATATCCATACATTACTGGTAGGAATATAAAATGGTGTAGCCACTGTGGAATATAGTTTGTCAGTTCCTCCATAAATTACACATAGGATTACCATCTGACCCAGCAATCCTACTCCTGGGTTTTTACTCAAAAGAACTGAAAACAACTGTTAAAAACTTGTCCATGAATGCTCATAGCAGCACTATTGACAGTGGTAAAGAGTAGAAACCCATCAACTGATGACATAAATGTCCAACAGCAGAGGCACCTGGCAAGCATGTGACTCTTGATTTCAGGATGGTGAGTTCAAAGTTCCACGTATGGTGCAGAGATTACTTAAATAAATAAAACTTTTTAAAAAATGCCCATCAATTGATAAATGTACAAACAGTGGTCCATCCACACAGTGGAATATTATTCAGCCATAAAAAGAAATGAAGTGCCAGGGCACTTTGGTGACTCAGTCCATTATGTGTCCAACTCTTGGTTTTGGTTCAAGTCATGGTCTCAAGTCCTAGAATGGAGCCCCACGTCAGGCTCCACACTCATCAGGGAGTATGCTCAAGGATTCTCTCTCTCCCTCCTTCTCTCTGTCTTTCTCTGCCCCTCCCCCCAAATAAATATATAATCTTAAAAAAAAAAAAAAGGAATGGAGTACCAACACATGCTACAAATGGATAAGCCTTGAAACATTAAGCTAAGTAAAGAAGCCAGATACAAAAGGCCACCTATCATATGATTTCATTTCTATAAAACATCCAGAATAGGCAAATCTACAGACATAAAGTGGATTGGTGATCACCAGGGTTTGGGGAGGGCAGAATGCAGAGTGAGTACTTAAAAGATAGGTGTGTGTCCTTTTGGGGTGACAAGAATATTCTGGAACTAGGTAGTGGTGATAGTGTACATCCCAGGTGTACTGCACACTTTTATTTTATGTATATCTTGCCACAAAAAAGCAAATGGAGCAGGCACTTTGAAAATCAATCTGGCAGTTCCTCAAAGATAAAACATAGAGTTACCACACAACCCAGCAATTCTACTCCTCAGTACATACCCAAAACATAGTCCACACCAAACTTGTATATGAATGTTCGTGTATTCATAATGGCCAAGAAGGAGAAACAACCCAAAGTCCATCAGCTGATGGGTGGTTACATGGAGTGTGGTATATCCAAAGAAGGAATTATTATTCAGCAATAAAAAGTAATGCTACAACATGAATGAACCCAGAAAACATGTCACGTTAAAAAAGCCAATCACATACTCTGCGATCCCCTTTATATGAGATGATCAGAATAGGCAAATCCATAGAGACAGAAGAGTAGATCAGTGGTTACCAGGAGCTGAAGAGTAACGGCTAATAGGGTAGGAATTTATTTTAGGGGTAATTGCAAAATTCCAAAACCAATTGTGGTGATGGTTGCTAGAAATACACTAGAAACCACCAAACTACAAACTTTCCGTGAATGAATTGTATGATCTATAACTTGTATCTCAGGAAAGTTATTTGTTTGTTTGTTTAAACCCATTTGATCTCATCCTCTTAGAATTATGTCAATTATTAATCAACCAAGGTTCAAGTTTTTCAGATACTCATGTTGAATACTTTTTTTTTTTTTAATGCTGACTCCTACTAGCATTTAGCTACTCTGGATAATTACTTAATAAACAGAAACAATACTGTCAAAATGTCCTGCATGCCCGATCAGTCATAAAAATAAACACATTTCAAAACCCTTTTTGAAAGAAAAGCAAACCACAAAAGGCATTGCAGACATTGGCCCAAGTCATGTACTTGAAAAAGTACCTAGTAAGAATGACTTGGCATTTTGGGGTTTTGTGCCCCTGACTTGCCTCGAATTCAATCCCCAGCTCAACCAACAAATGTAGAGGCTGGAACCTGCATGACTATGACTTGTAGAGACCCCTGAAGGGAGACCAGATGGCTCAGGGAGTGAATAAAGGATCTCTGTGGCCCCTCACCACCCAGCTGGGGCCCTGCTGGTAGAAGTCACTGACAGTCACATGGCATTGATTTAGGTCAGCATTTCTCAGCTTCAGCACTATTGGGGAACAGATAATTCTTTGTTGGGAGTGGGTGGGTGGGTATTTCTTGTGCTTTATAAAGGATTTTTAACAGCATCCCTGGCCTCTAAAATTAGACCGTATCATCCCCTAACTGCGATACCTAACATGTCTCCAGATGTTGCCTCCAAGGGTTGCAAAATTACCCCTGTTTGAGAACCACTATCTAGATGACTCCAGAATGCAAGACAAGCTGGGATAGAAGAGCTAGTCCTGAGGAGCTGGGATCTGGTTTTCTGAGAAAATGCTCCCCAAAGAACAATGCAAGAAAGCCATGTTGTTTGGATCACCTCATAGAGAGAATGTTCCAGCCTCCTAAGTGAAGGTCCAGAGAAGAGAGGGACGAGGCCATGGCTTCCCCTGATAGTCTTCCAAGCCCCTTCACACACTGCCCATGTGACCCTCAAACAGCCCTGTGAGGAGTGAGGCACATGCTATCAGCCCCATTCTGAGATGAGAAGACCCAAGCCCAAGGCCAGGAGGCCAGGAGGAAATGCCTCAGATCTGCTGAGTCATCCTTCCGCCTCCTTTCTTCCCTTCATGGGGCTGCTACCCTCCAGGTCTTGTATAGTTGGAGAAAGAGTACCAGGCAAACGTGGGGTCTCCAGGTGGGAGAGTGATAAGGGGGTGGGTTCTTACCCTGCCTCTGCCCCTTGCTGCAGATGGTGCCCTAAAGCAGCTCACTTGGCTTGCCTGGAAATGGGTTTGCTCGTGTATGGGAGAACTGGACTGTTTCCTGTCTGAGGGGCCTCCATCCTGTCACTCCAACCTAAAGCAGCCTGTCCTGCGTGTATTGCATTTACAGTCTTCAAAGTTCTCCCATGAACTCTATCTTCTCTGCCCCCAGCCCTGACCTCTAGAGTGTTCCCATTTCACAGATGGAGGAATGAACACTAGAGATAAACCACCCGCCCTGACCACACAGCTGGACTTGAATCCAGGTCTTATAGTTCTTACTCTTTTAATGTAATGGGGACAAAGGAGGGATCCCTGGAGCCAGCAGGGGAGGGAAACCTGGTCCTTTCCCACCCAGGCTCAAGCTAGGGCTGGGCTCTGGTGCATTCCCTCCCACAGCAGGCTAGGCAGAGAGGATGTGCAGGTCTGGAAGCCTGAGCTCCCCATGTCTGTATGGCCCCTAAAAGGGAGAGTAAAAACCTGTCCCTGAACCTCTGAGCAGTTCTCTGCTTTGCAACTGGAAGAGACTAGAATTTATCTCTGAATTCTTTATTCTAAGAAAAATGCTTCAAGGACCCTTCTAATTCTGAAATGTAATGTCAAACTCTCTCCTAAAATGGCTCAGTTGGTAGAGTATCTGACTCTTGATCTCAGGGTTGTGAGTTCAAGCTCCTCGATGGGTGTGGAGATCGCTCAAATAAATAAAACTCTTAAAAATGGAGATATTGGAAACCTAAGGAAAAGAGATTAGCCATGGGACAGATGGGTCTCAACTAAAAATCAGGGACAGTAGAGACAGTGTGCCAGCATCTGGCCTGGACTGAAGCCCGTGTGGGCAGAGGGAAAGGCAGAGGGGCCAGGTGACAGGGCGCACGGGGTTGGAGAGGAGGCCCTTAGTGGGGACAGGGATAAGCGGCTTCAGGACATCTGGGGTCTCCCAGTGGGAACTACCGGCCAGATGCCTGAGCAGCTTCTCTGGGAGCATCTTGAGCGAAACCAATGAGGAAGCCTTCTGAGGTGGTTGAGTCCCGCCCAGGGTCAAGGAGGCAGGAAGAGCTATAGTCAGTCACGCTACGGTGGGTGTTGCAGAGTGATCTCATCCTTCGTTAGACACGCAAGCCTACCAGCACCCAGTTATTGGGCCAGAGTGTGAATCAGAGCATTACTGCAAGGAGTGCTCACCAAGCTCTGGTTTTCAAAAGGCTCTGCACATTAGCCAATGCATAATAAGAAACTTAATTATATTTGTTTTGTAGGTAGGCCAACAGTTACCTATAAAACACGCTTGCTGATTTGATGAGCAAAATTGAATTTCCTTGTTTATTAATTTGAGTTTCTTGGATTATTTCTGAAGCCACATATGTTTCCAAACTTTCAGTGGCCCCTTCTATGGTGGCTGTGTGTTGACTGATCAAGTTATTTGCCTACTGAGGAGTATTTGTGGGGTTTTTTGTTGTTGTTGTTGTTGGTTTGTTTCCAGCTATGAATCGGGTCTTTAGTTTTCCTGATTTATGATGTATCTTCTTTTTTAAGTAATATTTTTAGGTGAAGTCACATAACACAATTAACAATTTTAAAGGGACCAGTTCAGAAGCATTGAGTACCTTCATCACGTTTGCAACGACCACCTCTGTAGGATTCCAGAACATTGCCATCACTGCCAAGGACACATTTTTCTCCCGAGTGTTGAAATGGTTTGATCATCTAACAAAAAAACTCTGATTTGAAATACAAATTGATAATTACATATTGTGTGATGCAGAAGGTTCTCTATGGTGGACATTTGGGTTACAGCTGAGATGCCAATGTAAGTTCACGGTGCTCCAAAAAACCCACATTTACCACCGTCTGTTTTGCAATATGACTAAATCAAATTCTTTTTGCAAAAATAAGAGGGTGGGGATGAAAGGTACCAAAATGTGTTTTTTTCCTTCTTAATGCCAAATGTTTCTTATGACACTTTCGCTTATTAATTACTTGGTTAAATTTTCCGGGCATGTAGGATTTGTATTCCATGCTGCATGCTTCCTGGAACCAGTCCGATTATGCTCATGGGCCCTGATCCCACCCATTCTCAGAGGTATGGCCAACTGTCCGGCGTACCAACCAAGAAATTGTCATATGTGAAAGAAGAGGGATGAGAGTCTCTGGGACCTATCTGAGGCTTTCTTTCGGATGAAAAATTCTTTGAGAAAGAGGATTCTGCTGGGAAAAAAGTGATCTGAAGACTTTCAAAGATATAAATATTAAAACAAAAACAAAGAACTCGTAAGTTTTTAACTTTCCAAAGTGGCTCTGGGCTCTCTCCGCATATGTCAGGAAGGCTTCTAAGAACATTTGCCTTAGGTCAAAGTTCAAAGTACTTTTTCTGCCAAGGGTCAGGTAGTAAATATGTAGGCTTAGCGGGCCACATACATCTCTGCCATGTATTCTTTGTGGTTGCTGTTTTTAACATCCTTTTAAAAACATAGGGGCACCTGGGTGGCTCAGTGGGTTAAAGCCTCTGCCTTCGGCTCAGGTCATGGTCCCAGGGTCCTGGGATCGAGCCCCGCATCGGGCTGTCTGCTCAGTGGGGAGCCTGCTTCCTCCTCTCTCTCTGCCTGCCTCTCTGCCTACTTGTGATCTCTGTCTGTCAAATAAATAAATAAAATCTTAAAAATAAAATAAAATAAAAACATAAAAACTGAGCACCTGGGTGTCTCAGTTGGTTAAGTGTCTGTCTTTGGCTCAGGTCATGTTCCCAGATTCCTGATATCAAGCCCCACGTTGGGTTCCCTGCTCACCAGGGAGCCTGTTTCTCCATCTCCCTCTGCCACTTCCCACTCCCCACCCCAACACCTGCTCTCTCCCTCTCTCTCTCTCTCCCTCTCTCTCAAATAAAATAAAAATTTTAAAAATAAGATCAACATATAAAAACCATTCTTAGCTCTGGGTCATATAAAAAATGAGCCTCTGGGCAGATTTGGTCAACTGGCTGCTATTTGATGATCTCTGCTTTGGAGTCCCAGGGAAAAAAAAAAAGCATGGATTTCCACATAGATTGTCCTCTCAGCAATGCATCCACTTGGTCAGGCCTTCCCCTGTTTCCTCAACAGGTGGGTGTAGGATTTAGACTGAAAATTTCCAAGGCTTATTCTATGTTCTGTGACTGTCCCCAAATGACCTAGCTAAGGATCCCTCCTATTGTTTACCTCATCTAAAGCCTCAGCATCATTCAGAACCTCAGCATCAGACTCCATCCATACCCCTTCTTGCAATTGGTCCCTCCAACGAAAACCATGTTAGGCATGACCGGTCTGGGATATTCAAAGACAAAGTCATATCTTAAGAGCCAGATGGATCCCTTCTGATACAAGGTGGGTAGGTGCACATCCCTCTTGAGGATATTGGAGGCGAGGTCTTCGTACTTCGAGTACAGACAGTGGAACAGATATGTCTCCAAGTAATTAGCGAGGTAGTTGGCCACCCGTTGGGGGAACGTCATCTGGTCTGAGAACTGAGTGTAGCATCTGGGAATGTGGGACACAGGGTTTGGGCTCCTGCTCATGGTATGCTCCAGGGAGCATGGGAAGCCCCTGAAGAGGTACACGGAGGGCAGGCCCAGGTACTCAGCCAGGATGACCCCGCAGGGTAGGGCTGGGTCTGTGAAAAGGGCATCGAACTTGCTCTCCCTGAGGACACTCAGGGTGGCCGAGTTCTCCAGGAGGCTCTGGCAGTTGGTGAAATACATGTCAATAACGATCATGCTATTCCTGTATTCCATCTGAGCAGCGTTCAGGAGCCATCTCTCAGCAAAGTGATTGTTTCCGAAAGAGCGGTACCGATTCTCCAGCTCCTCCTGGTTGAATGGCACTGGATAGATTTTTCTTGTGTAGTGCTTGGACTCCTTCAAAAGCAAATTGACTTCTGGCACCAGCACCACAATGTCATGCCCCTTCTCACTGAGGAGCTCAACTATGTCCTTCATACTGAGCCAGTGGCTTCCATCCTGAGGGACCACCAGCAGCCTGTCACCTACAACCTCCCTCCAGAGCACTAAGAAGAAAACTTTCCGAAACAACTGGAAGAGGCAGGTCATCTGGGGGAGAGGACAGGTAGCGACAAGAATAAACAGTTCACGTTCTCTAAACCTCAGGGCTCCCTGGCTCTTTTCCCCTGAGAGAACCAGTGCTCTTTACAATCCCTACCTACCTCTCTTTGCTCTGAATTTTGCCCCGTTTTAAAAGAACGTAAATTAATATTTAACCATTTTTATGCACACAGCAAACTTGACCCAGTGAGGTTTCTTATCGGCTTTCACCTGAGCTTCTAGGTTTATTTTTCTCTTTCTCTCCATTCTGCCTCTCCTTCCCGAGCTTAGTCATGCTTGGAGCACAGCTTGGGAGGCTCCTGGAGGCTGGTGGTGGTCCTCTGTCCTGAGTTTTCTGGATTCCCCCGCATGGTGATGATGTTCATAGACAAACAGCTCTTAGTGCTTCTCCTCTATCCTCAATGTTGTTCAGAAAGGAAGGGTCAACAGATGCCAGATTCAAGATTTGAAACAACACAGTGGAGCTGCCCATTCCACCTCCTGGTGACCTTGCGACCACAGCCATCACTGGATTTAAAAGTGGGCTGCTGGAAGCTGAAGGGACACAGAGGAGTCTGATCTAGGCCCCTCCCCACCCCTTGGGTTCTTTGGGGTAAACCACTATTATTGCAAGTTTCCTGTTCTATCAGAAGACAGAATCTAATCCTTAAGATACATGCTCTAAAACCAGAATTCCCACTTTGTGGTTAAAAGCAAAAATTCTGGAGTCAACCTATCTCTTCCAAGCTGTGCAGCCCCACTGTTCTGTGCCTGAATTCCCCGTCCCTCGAAAGGGAGTGGCTCTGTACCACCTCCTGGGGTAGGGGGGAAGAGCCATGAAAATTAATAAGTCAATCTATAATCTGTGGGTGCCCAGGACAGATCCCATGGAGGGGCTCCCTCTGGTTGTCATCAGGCAGCTGGGTCCTATGTGATATGAACTAAGGAGCACCCCAGTGGTCAGAAAGTAACACCTAAAACGTCTCAGCAAGGGAAAGATCCAGCTTTGCCTTCTGTCAACCCCAGAGTACGGGAGGAATTAAAGGAGACAGAAGAGGAGGTGGGAAGATTAAAAGGGAAGAAAATGTAGACGTATAAAACAATGGGAAGGCATCAGGTGACAAGACATTTGACGGCAACAACTGACCAGCCAGCAGTCGAAACAAACAAAACAAACAAACAAAAAAAAAAGCGCTAGCATCGGGACCCCTGATGTCTGCAGAACACTTTCTGGCTTGCAAGACAGTTTCCCAGGGTCTTAGCGTCCAAGGGTCTCTGCAACAAAGTATCACACAGTGGCTGGCCCAAACAACAGAAATGTATTCCCATAGTTCTGGAGTCCAGAAGTCTGAGACCAAAACATCTGTGGGCTTGAGTCCTTCTGGAAGCTTTGAGACAGAACCTGTTTCTCTCTCCCAGCTCCTGGTGAGCTAGGTGGATTGCTGGCAATCTTTGGCAGTACTAGGCAGATGCAGGCATCACTTCATCTCTACCTTCCTGTTCGCCCTTCTCCCTGTGTATGTCTGTGTCCGAATCTCCCCTTTTCATTAGGACACCAGTCATCCTGGATTAGCGCCCACCACCAATGATCTCTTCTTAACTAACATATTTCCAAAAAGGGTCCCATTCTGAGGTACTGGGTATTAGGACTTCAACATATCTTTCCGGGGACACAAGTTAGCCAATAGCGCTCATCTATCATCTCACACAATTCAAACTCCAAAGTCCAGGTCTGAGAAAACTGAGGCTTGCCACTTTAAGAAGGGGCAGTTTTGGGGAACTCCTGCACCTCAGAAGGGAATACAGAACTGGCCCCCTCTAGATCCACCATTCTCAAACCTTTCCATCTCAGGATTCCTTTACACTCTTAGTAACAATGGGAGACAACCCCCCCAAACTTTTGTTTATGTGGGTCATGTCTATCCAGATAAACCATTTTAGAAACTAAAACTGGCGTGTATAAAAGAAACTTCCTCACTCATTTATGATACCAAGAATAAGCCCAAGAGAAGTTAGCATGACTGACAACTTTTATGAAAAAAATACTCTGTTTCCCCAAAGAAGCAAAAAATTGAGCACGACGTTGTTTTACACGTTCTGCAAGCAAGTCCCTGTGATATGAACGTCTGTCTGACTTGGTAGACAATGGTGGGACTCTGCCACCCGCCTCTGCACTCAGCCTAGGCAATACCACATGTCGCGGAGCCTATGGAAAACTCCACGGTACCATGCTGAGAAGATGAAGTGGAAAAAGCAAGTAACGTCTTAACATTATTATGAAATCATTTGACCTCAGGGACTCCCGGGAAGGGTCTCAGGGATCCCTCAGTTTCTGTACTTTGAGAATCACTGTTCTAGATCAGAGGATGGCAATTTTTTTTTTCTGGAAAGGCCTAAATCGTACATATTTGAATTTTTATAAGCCATTGGCCTAGATACTGATACAAGCCAAGATGTCACCTCTTCCCCACCCCCCATGTCCACATGGCTCGCCCCCTCCCTTCCTGCCTGCTTCGGTCAATGTCATGTCCAAGAGACTTCTCTGGTGAGCTCATTATTAAATAACCCAGCCCATCACTGGGAAGCCTTCAAACTCCTTATATTTCTCTGTTTCATTCATCACTACCCAACCTATTGCTCATTTATGTGTCTCCCCCTGACTAGAATGGGGAAACCCTGAGGGCAGGAACAATATTTGTTTTGTTCTCTGCTTTATGCCCAATATCTAGAAGAATGCCGAGCATACAGTAAGCTCTCCATTAATGTTTGCTGATTAAAGAACGACACTTTGGTTTGTCTGTTTTATTCCTACATTTCCTTTTTCTTCATGGAGCCCATCATGGGGCTTGAACTTGCCACCTGAGATCAAGACCTGAGCTGAAACCGAGAGTCGAACACTTAACCGACTGAGCCACCCAGGCACCCCCCCAACCTACATTTCATTTTCTTGTCTCTTTCCAAGTTGTGAGAATTTATATATGAAATTTAAAGAACGGCGTGCTCTTTTTTTTTTTAGAATAAACTGGTAAATGGCATTATAAGCATGTGATGGGTCACTTGCCTTTTAGGAAACTGAGACTTGAAAAGTCTGAGTGTAGCCAGCAGGTGGTGAGGGCCCTGGAGCAGGAGTTGGACGGCATTGAGCTCACTTCCAGCCCTGTATCCCCACTCGCCCCCCGTCTGCCTGGGGCATGACCCATCTCCTGATTGTTGGGTTTCTCAACTGAGACTCAGAGTGAGAGGGTCATGATTATCCTGCTATATATACCTACCACATGACCAAGGGAGGTCCAAGAGGATGAGGGTTGAAACCAGGCTAAATGAAAGGTAGTTCCTGGCGTGACTAGAACAGACTCGCCCACAGCTACTCAGGCACAACCGAACTCTCACACAAGGTCTTGTCATAATCCATGCCTGTGGGCTCATGAGGCATGCTGAGACCTAGGAAAGGAGAAGAAGCCAGAGGAATGGCACGGAATGGCACGGAATGGCACGGAATCACCATTCCAAGCACAGGGCTGGTCCCAGGAATGCAGCCAAGATGCAAATTCATTGCAACCTCCTCCAGGGAGTGATGCCAGCAGGATTTTCCATTTACAATCATCAGAGCCTGGAGGGGGGTAACATCCTGGCTTGGGTCCTTCTAGACAGCAGTAAGACCCCAAGATGTTTACAGAGTGAGCACAGTGCAGGTCCACCCCTCCAGTGCAGGCAGGAGCTAAGCCGATCCTTTCTGAGAGCAGTACATCGGGAGGCAGAAAGGCTTAAGCGAGTATGTGGGGGGAGGAGAAACAAGAGCGCCTACAGACCTCAGCTGCTTCACACCAGACCCCCATTCTGCTGAGGACCTTGGCCTGGGCCCTTCCTAGGAGAGCCTGGCTCTGATCTTGTTGTTCAACAAGAAGTCTGGGGAAAGCACATGACTTGGCTGGGGGCCCCATTCTCATTCCTAGCAGATCCAAACTTACACACTGGAGATAGGAGATAAAGGAAAGGAACCAATCCCACTTTGCAAAACATCACCAAAGACATGTCTTGCAAATTAAGAAAGATTTAGAAAACAGTTCTCTTCCTCCTCCTGAGATTTGACTGTTTCTAAGAATGGTGCGTGTGCACACACAGGGCAACAGGAAGAAGGATCTAGCATGTGTGCCAATCCCAGTGGTTGTGGAGACCCTAAAGGTGATCTACCCCAAAGGCCAGACCCACCCTGGGCAGTGCTGTAGAGCTCGACACGTTTTCAGGCATCATGGAGTGTCTGGGAGAAGGCCAGTGTTTTCTTAGGGATTCTTACAGATCCAACAACTAAGCTTAGGACATGTATCAGTGGGGAGAAGGAGGTAGATCCTGGGAGTTCCCAAAAAGTCAGAGGAGGACACCTGTCATTTGGCATAGAGGGGAGTCGTAAAGGTGTGCATGGAGGTGATGACAACCTCAGAGAAGTTGACCCTCAAATCACCCACAACCTATGAGTAACGGAGCCTGGACCTACAAGATTTAAAAGCACCTGCAAAGTGCTCGAGACATGAGAAAAAGGCATTTGCTAACTGCAGAGCACAAAAATGCAAAATCAAATGAATAAATGTTTTATTAAATAACTACAGAAGTATGCCTGTGTGTGAACAGTCTGCTGTGGTTTAGCGCATCGAGTAACGTGGACAGTGTATGAGATGTGGGATCCTGGGGCAGCTTAATCCATTGGCTAGGCCATGGGGTGTGGGCTGCAAAAATTAGCATTCTGGGTCCAGGTCTTGGTGCGGGTCCAAAATGGTCAAGTCTGAATCACCCATGGCTGGGACGGGGCAGTCCAGAGAAGTGTGGCTTGTCTGGCCAGACAGCTCCCACTGGGCACTTGTCCTACTGTAAGAGCTGTGTCTATCACTACCCAGGGAGGTTTGCACTGACATGGGTGGTGGTCCCAGAAGCTGGGAGCAGTGGGGAGGGGCACAGGCCACTAATTAGCCCTGACCAAGGGACTACTTAGAGGACACAGACAGTAGGATTTCCACTTGCCTATTTTTACTAGAGCAGTCCATCCCAAAAGATCATTGACTAACACTTGCCCAATCTAACCCAGGCTTGGTCACTGAGTCTTGGGTCCCTCAGGACTG